ATTTGTAAACGGGTCAGTAGTTTGATATGAATATAATGAGGTTGGGGAAACTTGCTAGAATTTCTCTCAATCATAGCGACATCAGTGCCGGCCGAAAGACGTGCGACGCGAAACAATGATTGATGAGACAGATTAAGGACGAGCTTGGTACGGTTAATTGCTCGTACTGAATCTGAATAGTTAACTGCTCTGTACATGAGAATGATTGTATAAAAGAGTTACGTAACAGCGCTCATATGTATAGCACAATGCTGATGCATCTTTCGTGCAGCTATGAAACACAAAGTAACTCTCCCACTGCCGAAATAATGATTTTGATTTAAACGCAAAGAGAAAAGCACCTACTGAAACAGCCTAGTTGTTAAGCTGTCTGACAGCGGACCCAGGGTTAGGGGTTCGAACCCGCCTGGTGCCATTATTTTGGTTTTCGATGCCCGCGGTTCTGTCACTTAAGAGTATTAATTTCCCGTCGTCATTTACCAACAGCAGTTAGCTCGGTCGGTCGGTAAGCTGACTCACAAGTTGGGACTGTCTGCGAAGTCCAGGTTGGCATCTGCGAATAGGTACGGGGTTCTTTTGCTGACTCGGCAGCAAGGCTTAGGGTGCCACCTCGTTTCCTCCCTTTATGGTGTCTGACTTTCGAGTTACATGGATGGACAGGGAAGGAGGTGTGGTGGGCCGGGTACCGAGTCCCAGAAGAGTTCTATATGGAAGTCGGTAAGGGGCTCATTGAGTTAGGGTCATAAGTCCGACTCCTGAAGACTTGGCCATCGCCACATAACTTTTTGTTTTATTTTCTTTCTTTTCTATCAGAGGACAATTGCAAGAATGATTAATTTGTTATATTGAGAGCTTGAACTGTAATCGTTCGAAAATTTTGTAACATTGCCCGAAAATAAAATAGAAAATTTAATCCAGCTATAATGTTTTTATTTCATTGTGGCAAAACTGCATGAACATGCTCAGTACCTTTGCGCATACCTTGTTCGGGCCTGTTCCCTGATCCCAGACTGCGGGGGGAGGGGGGGGGGGTCTTTAAATCCTATTGTGGAATTTTTCTTATTTTTATATTTTTTATAGGCACAGCCGTAGCTGTAAACCACCGTATATGAAGCGACTTCCTGTGCCGACATGACAGAATGTACAATCTTTTGACATGGGTTTCAGAACCGGATTTTAGCTTCGCGGAGTTTTGAGCAGCGGTGTTTATTGTTTACATTCTCCACTTTGTTCTTATTCCCTCTTCCCAAGCGGTAAAAAGGGGGGAAAAGAAAAAGAAAGGAAAAAGAGGTGCGAAGCCATATTGCTGTTTATTTGATGGGGGGGGGGGGTAGGAAAAAATGCTTCCCTGCTCAGGCTAAATAAAAATGATAAAATTGAGAATATAATGAAAAAATTAAGGAATATTGGGGAAAAAATGCTTTTCCCCCCCCGGAAAAAAATCCTGGCGACGCCCATGCCTTTCCCCTGCCTTCTCCATTCTTCGGAACACTGGTACCTAGGGCCTACGAAGCACTTAATCCGGGCCTGTACAGGGCTAGTCAAAAAGCAAGTGACTTGGATTTAATTTGATGCACCAATGAAGAATGTCTGAAAAGAGAATGTTCTTCCACTCATCTAAAAAAAACACCAAAAATAACTGAAATTGATCCATGCTAGCAGAAATTACCCATGTTTTACTGAAAGATCATATTTTTGTGGCCGTCTATGATATAACAGTAGAAGGTTTTGAGCTGAGTAAGAATTACAGATCTCAAACAGGCATTCAAATACATTTCAGATTTTAATCATTGAGTCAAGACTGAAATATTCTTTTTGCTGTCAAATTTTGTGTTTTAATTATGAAGAACAAGTCAGCTCTTCCCCCCTGAAATATTAATGGCAAATTTTGTCTGTTTCCTTTGCAACTTTTCATTCACTCACGAAGGTGGGAAACGTCCATGTTTCATTGTACTTATAATGGTATTCATCAATTCGCAGGACGCTAAATGATGAGTGGTGGACAACTGATTGTGTGATCATTTTGATTAAAAGAGACACAACGTAGGACTATATGCAAATTACGTGAAAGTTTCAGAGTTACTAAACTATGTCTTGTACTGTACCCCTATGTTTATTTTATGAAATGGAGCGAGCCACATATTTTTTGAAATGTTCTTTTCTAATTCTGTCATTTTGTTTCTTCTAAATACTCACCCTGTATATTGGACGTTTCGATGACTTATATAATGGAATAACACAGTGCGAAGTACGATAAATACTGTTTAATAAATAGCTATTAGATTTATGGTACGTATAGGCAACTTGTCTGTAGCGCTTTCCAGCTCTTATTAAAGCTTTAGAATTTTAACAGTTCCCGAACATTTTGTATTCTTGATTTCCGCATAAATGTTGGTTTTATTCCTAAACACAGCGATACACTGTCAAAGACTTCATCAGGCTTGTCTCACGTTTTTCCTTAAAACGTCTGCAATTACTCTAATAATAATCATGTTCCTCCAGAGACGAAGGATGTTGACTTTGCGAAACATCATGTTTGGGTTGAGAAACATTTTTTTTTTCTGAAAATCGTTGGTCTTTCGCCACAAAGCCTCTTGCCGTAGAGTGATGGGATTTTAGTTAAATGATAGTGATGGTAAAATGGGGAATAAAATAGACATCTGGTTTGAATAGCTGATGTCTCCAGTCTTATTTATCAAGACTTCCATTCATTTTCTTCTACGGGGACTGAAATTGTGTGCGTCACAATACACCAAAAGTCGCGTGTACTATGTTTTGTGATACATCAAGGCGCAGCAAATTCTCCTCTAAATTCACGAACACTTCCAACAAATTTATGTATTGATTAAAGATGAATTTAGCAGTTGGGTTGAACATATATACATGGATAATAAATACTGCATATAATCATATTGACAAATTGTAGTTTTCATATATCTGTAGAATCTCTTTTTGGTTTATTTCATCATCAAAAACACTAATTCAAAAACAACTTGCGAGTACAAAAAAGTTTAAATTTGGGTACAAACTACAAAAACGAAATTCTATACTGAGGTATCCTGCCTTATCCGATTGGTATCTGATAGGTTTCAGTGTGACTACATTCCGATTTTTTTAAAAGCGAAATTGTAAGGCGAAGTTACTTTTCAAAAATTATGAATTACTTCTTTAATGGCTTAATTTAGCCAATACACGTTTTTTGATCAAAAACCCAGGATGATTGAAAACCTTGTAAAGGGATACAGTTCAACTCTGAGGTAAAGCAGTTTTTCGTGTGAAAAAAGACACCTAAATATATTGAGGTCGACTATATCCTATTTTCAACGAAATTTACAAAGAAGGCTTTTGATACAACTCGCATGGAAACAAATAACAAACAAACAAACAACCCAAAATAAAATTCAACAATATAAATCTCTATATATACACACTTATTATAGGCCAATCTGTGCTATCAATTATATCACGAAGGCCCCTTAAAATGGCGACAGCATTGTGCTAGCTATTGTTCAGATAATCCGTCATGGGGCGGTATAGCTTTGTATAATAGCTCACACAATGCTTTCGCCATTGAAGGGGGGCTCGTGTGTGTATCGTGATCACGTGATCTAATCCGTCTATGCCTCGAGTATAATGAATGAAAGTTTACACAATTTGGAATATATAATGCAAATTATTCTGCAAGCTAAACTATACCTATTTTGTGTTTACTTCTTAATTTGTACGCCTAAAGGGACATACATTTCTGTGTGTGCATGAACCAATGATTACTCTGTATTAAAATATCATCACTGCTCTATAAAGCGGTTTTCCTGTGTATGTATGTTCATCGGTTGCTCATGTGTTAATCACTTACATTGCTAAACTATACAGGGTGAGTAAAAAAAAAGCGAAACCCAAATGTCGGGAATATTGTTTTAGTGAAGGTCTGCATGTAGCACTTTCAAAGTTTAGGATATAAAAGGCCAATTCATAAGCTTTTGTTTAGTACAAGAATCATTCAAATCACTCGTGTACTTTTCAAGTTGTTAAACACAACCACCGTTTTAAAGTTCTGTCCACGGATCACAAAAAAGGTGTGTGTTCTTTCAGCAAAACGGAAACATTTCACGCACATCTCTATGCGATTTGGTTTCGTTTCGCCTAAAGAACACTTACCTTCTTGTAATTCGTGGACAGAACTTTAAACGGCGGTTGTGTTTAAAATTCCGTAACTTGAAAAGTACATGAGTGGTTTGAATGATTCTTGTACTAGAAGAAAGCTTTTATGAACTGGGTTTTCATATCCTAGATTTGTGCTACATGCAGAACTTCACTCAAACAATAGTCCCGACATTTGGGTTTCGTTTTTTTTTACTCACCCTACACCCTAGTACATTAAAATTATACAGCAGCTGCAATTAAGTTTGTGCAATACGGACATAGTGAAAGCAATGTACAAAGCAGGTATGAAATACAATTACCTCGCCATTGTTTGGAAGGCGCCCCTTAAATAGCTGATCCCAGGTCCGCTTTTACATTGTTAAATCAGGACTTGGATACTGTGTTTGTATTAATCTAGAAAGGTCACGTGTCAGGTTTGTACATTACATAGTATTTAAATATATGCATAATTCAACATCGCTCAAATACCGTCTGGCACAGTATTTGCGTCAAAAAGGTGCAGTACAGTAATCAGAGATAACATGACGATCATTCATTTCTTACAAAGTAACCGACAACTTCCAATAGCTATTTGGTTTATGGCCCAAACCATTTTACATTACTGTGATCATGGACGTTAATTTTTTTTTAAACTTCGAGACACACGGCGCGTTCAGTGATGTGAAAAACACCATGTCCAACATCACAGTTGGTACTAATTTGTTTTTTTTAATTTGGCACTGAAACTGCATAAATCACGGGGGATGGGAGGATGCATCCCCACACTTTCTACAATGACCGGGCTGGGGTGTTGAAACATTCCCCCTTTCTGCAATGACCGGGGCTGGGGTGTTGAATCATTCCCCCTCCCCCTCCACCATGTTGGGAAGGTCGGGTCTTTTAGGTAGAGTAGGGGCGTCATCCCTGATGCGGGTACTGTGGGCGATGTCCACCTCCCCGATGCGGGTATTATAAGTTGTCTCCAGATTCAGCGGCAGGGCCGATTGGCCCCGGTCGCGGCCTTGGTACTTGATTACAGCATCCTTGGCTCGATTGATGCTGTAAGAGAAAAAAACATACATCTCAGGAAGGCCTATACTCCGATATAACTTTTGGTTAGAATAACTCAAATGTCACACTTGCGGCTAGCTGAATAATCACAAAAACGGGCTTTTATATAGCACTTTTAACTAAGATCAATGCGCTTTATACATTATTATTACCCCTGATCATTGGACCAATTAAACATTCCAAATACCATCTCAGCTCCCAGGGGAGTATGCAGCTTGATGCTGCCAGTTAGGCGCAAGGAAGCTAATTCAATCACAATAACCATCTCTACCCTCACAGATGCAACTATCAACAGAAAACATAGATGTCGTCAGCCAGGTGTAAGTCAGACTGATTTCTAGTTCAATCTCATTTCTAAGGGTACAATTTTTGTAAGGGGCATAAAGCGCTGTTACTGGAACATGCCTTGGAAGCTAAGATGAAACATTTTTACAATAGAAATTTTAGCGAAAACTACGCGCAGCAGATGCTTGCTTTGAACTGTAATTGGTAACGGTTTGTTCTCATTTCCAACGTTTCGCCAATGTGTAAACATGGTTTGGCAGTCGTGAAAGTGAAAAAAAGAAATCGTAGAATATATTACTTTAGTTCAACATCGTACCTTGACGAAATAAGAAGTTTTCATCGGATACCCTACTTTTTCTCAATTTATTGGTTAACTGATTATTGCTATTTTCCTTTTGAAGTTTGAACTTAATAATTTCATAAGTAGGCATATAGCGTTAAAGAAATCGTAAGAGCAACAATTTTAAAGGCTAAAATTTATCGTTACATTGATGATATATCTGAAAACTGCTCTGAGTACCGGCACCCATCGACACCCTTTGAAATGCATTTGCAGACAAATCTGTTCTCCTTCTTTCCTGTAACCATATTACGTCCTCATTCGACTTTACTTAAACTCGAGCATTACTACTTACTATCCCTTGTGGTAGATGAACCCGGCCGCAATAACGACCGAAGCTACAATAACGACAATGAGTAGAATAATGTACCAGTTGGAACCGATCCAGTTCTGTAAAGAAACCACATGTACTTGGCTTTATCTTCTGTAATATCCCATCACCACAGTTGAATTCCATTACTTACTTATGTTATCACCATCCATCTTATTTTCACCATTATCAAGTCAACATTATCACCATATTATATTGTTATCACTATCATTTTCACTACCATCTTAATTCAACCACTTCTGTTAGTTCATCCTTCTATTGGCAGTTTGTTCATCATCTCTCGATCAGTTTAACATTTTTAAAACACTAAGTCACTATTTAACAAGATTGCTACAGGCCACTAGAGGTGGCAGCTACAAAAGAAAACAAAAAAACGTGGATTTAAAGACAAAAAGAAATGAATTATCAACTGATTTTTTCCTTCAAATTGAGATGTAAAAGTTGGAAGGGGAAAGAGGGTGGGCAATGAGTTCCACTGGGAAACAGTAAGAGGGAAGGAAGTTAAGTAACTACCTCAACTCGTATAACAGAAATGACAGACGGATCACAGGAGGCAGGGGAGGGAGGTCAAAATGCGAGGAAGGAGTGAGAAGGGAAAGTCCTCCTGACAGAAGGAGTAGCGCAAAAAGGAAACTAAGCCTCTGTCAGCGAGAGGTTCTATATACAGTATGTCTCAAAAATAGTGCCCGTCTAAATAGTTTTGAAAGAACAACCAAACCACGAAGTAAATTTGTTAAGTTTTTAATTGTGCATATCCTCTTTATCCTTGGCCTCAACTCCTAAATAATTGTCGCTCACGCTTCACTTCACAATGATCAATTGATCACAGCAACATTTCTGGACACTTGTGACCAATATCATGAAAGAAGTTCATCAGGCTGGTGAAGTTTTAACTTTGTAAATGCTTTCTATATTAACTACGTAAGTAATTGGCTGTGTTAATAGAGAATTCATTTACAAACTTGTGACCAAGTTCCTTGTCTTTTAATCATTTTCAGTGCTTTGTTATGTAAGCTGTGTAAAATCAGTCGCCATTTGCCCTCGAGCGTTAAACTGAGGTCTAGCCCTGATGACTAAATGACTGATGGCCAGGCTAAAAATTCCAATAGCCCTGATGATTGAATGACTGTTAACCATGCAGGCAAATGATTCCAATCCCCAAACCGCAGCCCTTTTTCACAACATGAAAGAGTTTTCACAGCTTACATAATAACAAGTCACTGAAATTGAGTAAGTCAAAGAACTTGGTCACATGTCAAAAAATGTTGTTGTAATCAATTAACCATTGTTTAGTGAGGCATGAGGGAAATTAATTAAAACTCTTAGGGGTTGAGGCCAAGGATTAGGAGTATCTGCACAATCAATAATTTTCAAAATTTACTTCGTAGTTTTGTTGTTCTTTCAAAAATATTAAGGTGAACACTTTTGGGAGATGTGCTGTAGAAGAGCTGCCAGTTATAAGGTCTCCAGGTAGAACTCTCCTGACTTCGCATTGTGCCATGATTGATCCTCAAAAATTTCCACTATTCAAAGTTTCTTCCAGTTAAGGGGAGAAATCCTACCTCTGACGGGTTCCCGGTGAATGGCTCCGCAGATCCCTTGTAGATATCGAGGCCGTACTGGGCAGGAAGATCCGTTGACGCCCCATCAATCCAAGCCTCTATGGTGTCCTTCTGTAAGTAACCCGACTCAGTCCAAGCTAGAAAGGTCACTTTAGTCAGAGGTGAGCTGGGATGAATAGAAGTTAATATTTTGAGATAAGAGCCCGATGCATGGAATTTATAGATCACTTCATGGTCATTAGTAATCGACGGATTCACAAATCGCTTTATGTAGTAGGATTGCCTTTGCGCGATTGTATGGAGTGCCTTAATGTGTGTTATACCAATTAAACTAAGATCTGCAAACAAAAGAATATTTGTTGGTAGATAGCTTGACGATTTTGTTTGAACTAGATTGTTAAAAGGGCTTTTTTCACACCGAAAATGCGTTGATAATCTTTCGGTAAACTAATTACGAGACGATTAACTACACTATGCAACAATTTGGAGCAAAATTATGTTTGCACCATTAACTGGTAATTACATTTCAATTTCTGTGTCAATTAAGCCTTGCAAGAACATTGTGAAATAATATATATATATATACCTATCGGTAGATTTGACATAGTCCTCTGTCAGAATTATTTCCACTGACACTGTTTCTCCGGTGTCTCTCCGCACGCGCGAATGAAGTGCGTAGAGTTTCTGCAGCAGATTGGCCAATTTGGTCTCATATGCAGACTTATCTTCCAGCTTTCCTATCATGAAGACGACGGCACCGTACAGTTTTGAATCTTAGACACGTGACAAAAACAAAAGAAATACAGGAATGTTTTATTTTTTAAATTTCGTGAAACGATTGCCCCCAAATAGATGATAAATTAAATTTAAGGCACTATACTAAGCTCTGATTTTGATTTTGAAAATGCAACAATTAAAGTACGTGTGATAAAAATGACGGCCTTCAAATGTGCTCAACGTGTGCGAATTCGGAGCACAACTATACTCGGCCCGATTCCGAATTTCGCGTTCGTTCGATTCCGCTTCTGCGCTGAGTTTTATCCAACCAACTACATTTTGGTATCACAACTAATGAACGACAGAAAATATTGTCAGATCGGGCTTGATTCGAGTCTGTCGGATTGGGGACACCACTTCACCAAAAACAATGTCAGGTATCTAAGTAGACAGCAAAAGACTCCACAGGACTTTTTATTTCGAAAACCTGTTTGGTTTTATACTCTGGATTTTTTTCCAATAGAAAATATCAAGCTCCATTAAAATGTGGTACAATGTACTGTCATAATTATAAAGGCTTTGCATAGACAATGTTGAATTGAGAATGTTTTGTTCATTTCAGTACTAATTCCATTTTGATCTTTTCTTACCTATGTCGCAATTTGTTCCATAGAAGCCGTCATCACAGGTGCATTTGTAATTGTAATCGTTAGCGCTGTTGGTGTTTTCACATGTACCATTCTGACACGGTGGGTCTCTGAGGGCGCATGGCTTATCTATCACCGTGTCACACTGAGTGCCCTCGTAAAACACATCACATTCACATCTTTAGAAACCAATTATAATGCTGAGGTAAATGCCAGTGAAGACTGATCCATCGTATGCAGTAGCCATCTTGGAAATATATTTTGCTTATTTTGAATTCAGTGTCAAGTTTGAAAGCACAATATGGTCTTTGCATGAGCTTAGTAAAAAATATCGACTGGCTTTCCTCGTTATTGAAAATTGACTAGTCAAACATGCAAAGTTTCATACTATGACTAGAAAAAGGTGTTAGAATCGACACAGATTTCAATTGCTTGCATAGCTATTTTTCCAAAGTCAATGGAAAAATCAAGTCAGATTGACTGATTTTCAGTTGCACCCAGCTGACCCTGAATGGCTAGTCGAATTTGCTTTCTTGTCAAATCTGACTAATGCTTTTTTAGAGTGTGTGCATGCCTGTGGGACTAAAGCTCATGCATCCCTAAGATGAATGTCATGCAAAGGATGTTAAGGCCTATGTCTTGCTACATGTATTAGTAGTTTGTAAACATGTTTATTAAGCAATTGAATACTGATGTTTAGGAATTGAACACAACTGATACATTCAACAACAAAAAAGAAAGTCCCCCTTTATATTTTTTTGTGTAACTCAAAAACCACTGGGCATATCTTGCTCAAATTACGACTGATCAGTACAGAAATTCCTTAGCAATCCAGCCCTACTCTTTGTTTGGCCCAAAATCGTGATAATGTGTACAAAATTATTCAGTTTATGACAAATGGTACCGGAAAAAGTTGCCCTTTTGTATACGTGCAAGGTGAGTGTGAACCACAACTTGCACAAAAGTGCAACTGTTCTCGATATCATTGGTCATAAATTGTATAAATTCGTTAACTGTTTTTGGTCAAATAAGGAGTATGGCTGGATTGCTAAGGAATTTCTGTACTAATTAGTCGTTATTTGAGTGAGAGGTGCGCAGTAAGACAAACAAATATTGGAGGGGGACTTTCTTTTTTTGTTTGATTGCATTAAGATTGTGTTTAATTGCTAAACACAGTTGTTAGAGTGCATTACTGCTCACCTGTAGGCATTCAACTCATCCACACACGTTCCATGCTCACACGGCGAGCTAGCACACTCATCTATTTCGTTCTGACACAGCACGCCTGCATACCCCGCCGTGCAGTTGCAAACGTAGCCGTTGATGAGATCCCAGCAAGTCCCATTCAGACAGGGTGAGCTATTACACTCGGTGGTTTCACTGTGGCACTTTTCTCCACCGTAGCCCGGCGGGCAGAGACAGGTGTACCCGTCCAGGTGATCGGTGCAGGTGCCCTGGTGTAGACACGGCGAGCTGGCGCACTCGTCGATGTCTTGGTCGCACGTCTTCCCGCCGTAGCCTGCCGCGCATTCGCAGATGAACCCCGGGTAATCGTCCACGCAAGTGGCGTTGTTCATACACGGATCGTAATCACACAGATTCAACCTCAGACACCTGACATAAGGAGAAAAGACATAATTACTTCTTAAATTTTAAGAGTTTAAAGCCACCGTTCTGTCCAGTTGGAAAATAGACAAGAGAAGTGAGCAGACGACGCTAACCAGATTCGCGACCCTCCTAAATTTGGTTGTGACCCACCGCTGCCAAACGACTAGAGAATTAATGAACTTCTAACGGACAAACTTGGTTGAAATTGTTCACAAATGCTTGCCCAATCATACACGGCGCCACACTTACCAGAAACCGTTGATCTCGTTCACGCAGGTCTCATTGACATAGCATGGGAACGAGGCACATTCATCTATGTCCATCTCGCACGTGTCACCCTCGTACCCGTCGACACAGTGACAGTGGTATCCGGCGAGTTCGTCCTCACAAGTTGCGTTATTTCTACACGGGGAGCTCAGGCACTCGTCCGTCTCCAGATCGCAGTGTGTTCCCTCATATCCTTCTTGACATGCACACCTTTAGGGAGAAACAATTCAGTTCTTCCATAAATCGCAGGCCATTTGTTGTTCAAAATGTTCAATGGTGTATGGTCCTTAAGGTTATAAACGTGATTTTTCAAACTTTTGATTTTATTTTTCCGAACGGCATTTAAAGGAACATAATGTCATGCAACAAATAAATTTGCTTGTTTTGCAGGCCTTTAATGGTGTTAAAAAGTGGTTTTAAATGGCGCACTCCAGTTTAGAAAATGTGCACACTATTCAGAACAAATTAGGAGCGTCCCGCTATTAATTCATAGCTATATTAATTTATTGATTACTTGTCGTGGGCCGATTTGTCCTGATATGTCGCATTGGAAAGCTCATAACTAATGTAATGCTAGAAAATTATCAATTCCATTTGAAAATCTATTTTTCAAGGTATCAAACCCAAAACGCACGTATACCAACTCTAAGCATGGCATTGTTTTGATGTAGAAGTTAAGTTTTCACCAGTAGGTCTACATTTTGAATGAACTTTAAACCTCGGGATAATCCCAGACTTGTTTATACGGCTGCAGCTGGTGTTCTTCAACAGGGACAATCAAAAATCAAGTCAATAATTACATGTGACGACCATTTTAAAGTAAAAGTTAGTATAGCCGGTCCGATGTTCACAGAAAATGGGGGGGGGGGGTGTCCCCCTCTCGATTGGTGCCCATGGCCACAATCATTCATAATGTTAATGTATTTAGTGATCACATGGTATTGAACGAAATCAATAATGGATTCATTACACTGCACATAAGAGGCCTAATTCACGCGTAAATTTGCTTGGGATTCGATCGAACTTACTGATATTTCCCAATGAGATCATGACACGTCCCATTGTGAAGGCACGGACTGGAACTACATTCGTCTGTTTCCACATCACACAAGAGGCCCTCGTAGCCCGTCTCGCACAGACAGTGAAACCCGTCCACTCGGTCAACGCACGTTCCGTTATTGGCGCAGGTTTGGTTGATGCAGTAATCGATGTCAACCTGTTAACAAAATGCCCATTAGCAAGAAGTAAACCTCATTACTGATAATAGTATAGATGTAGAAATCCGGGGACTGACAGCTGTAAGCCTATGTCATGTTATGCACAGAACCGTTGATAATATGACATTCAGTCAACTGTTGTGTGTTTGATTGTATGAACATCTGATCTGATCTGATATCACCAAGAACAGCAAATTTGTTGTTGGCCTACCGTTTAACAATAAGCACCAACATCAGATTAACTGAATTGGCATACGAAATTCGTGTGTATAATCAAACGGACATCCCACTTTTAATTAAAGCATACTTTCTAATTACTTTTCCAATATATCAAGTCTGGCAATTTCTGGGCGAGATTCCGCGCTCTAACTTTGGGAAATATGACAAAACCACACAGTAACTGGTTGGATTTAGTAAAGTCAACATACAGCAACACGTTGCTTCAGTTATATATAGGCGAAACTCTGAATACGTAAATTTGCCTGGCGTAAATTAAAACAAAAAAGACGACTTCCGCAATAACAAGGGAACATGAATCCGTTACCTCGCACAGATCTCCAAAATAACCCAGAGGACACACACACTTGAATTGACCAATCAGATCATTACACGTGGCTCCGTTCTGACATGGCTGACCAGCGCAGTCGTCGTACTCACAGAACTCGTCCGCGTACACAAAACCAGGGGGACATGCGCAGGTGAAGTATGCCACGTGATCGTGGCAAGTCCCGCCATTTTTGCAAGGCGTGGATGCGCAGTCGTCCACGTCGATGTTACATGTCGTTCCTGTGGACACATTAACGATTTGGTTTATATAAATATGGTAAAGCTAACTTTAAGTCCTTATAGCTTTTGAGTAGTTACAAGGGACACGATGAAAAGGAATCATGGTGTTCCAAGTGGAGAACATCTTCAGAGCTAGAGGCTCGGACCTTGCAATGTAATCTTTTAATGTAGTCCTTGAAAATGCACCTTTGTGTCCCATTTAGCCTTATTTTCAATTTTCGTTTTGCCATTTTCAAGGCTATTTTGGTGCCTTTTCTGGTTTTTATGCTAATGCCAATTCCATACTCATAAGCAAAAGTGTGATGTCATTTCAGGCAGACACCTGAAGTGATAAAGGAACATTTCTCACAAAACGTAAAGCCCATCTTGGGTTTGTGTTGTGGAGAACAAGACATTAGATATGCATGTAATGGACCAATCAGAAGATGGGAACCGGATTTCGTTTGGGGGAAAAAACTTCCACGAGTCGGTAGGGTCCGTAATTCATCTAACGTTTGTAAAAAAATACCTTCCCAGCCACTGTAGCAAATTTTGGCTCCCGTATTGGTGTCGCATCGGTAATGTCCATACTGGTCATCCCTGGGAATACAGTACACACTGCAGTCGGAGCCAAAGTAATAACTGTCGCAATACACCCTCACTTCAAAACTGAAGTCGATCCTAGTAATACAAAAAAATAGAAAAAAAAGAGACAGAAGCAAACAGATGAAGAGTGGTCTACACAAATTACAATCTCCAAATTCTACAAAGGCTTGCCTTAAGTAGCTATGTCTGCGAGAGAAGAGCTGTCAAACGTTTTACTTTTTCAAGCCATGCATTCGGAGAAAAGTTTGAGAGTGCACACACCCACGAAATACATATTTTGCAATTATAGTTGTTGAAGACATTTCAAATTGATCTTTCAAATTGATCTTGTGAGTGATAATTCACCTACTACCTGGAGTTGTTTTTGTTTTTGTTTGTTTGTTTGCTTTTTGTGTGTGATTTTTGTTTGCATGGTATTGATTTGTTGTATCAATTCGGAAAGATGTTTATAAAAAGTTTGTAATTGGAGGCAAAATCATTTTTTGTGCAGTAATGTTGTAGTCACGTGGTATTTATCACAGATCGCTACAACTCTAGGTATAAATATAAAGTATCGTGTTCCATATGCGCCATCGGCGTCGCATTTTTGGGCGTCGCATTTTTAAGCTCTGGCAGGGATCATTTGATGGATTTCATGCAAGACTTTCATGCAAGACGGCCAGGGATTATTGTGCACTCGCACTTGTTATTCTGAACTATACATAAACGTGGATAGATATTCTGTTCAGTGTATCATGAAAAAGGGAACATATTTTTTTTTTATTGGTAGATAAATCTTTCCTTTTGTTGACATTCATGTCCTAGTGACGTACTGTGACCGTGAACCCAGGCTATACTGCTGCCACGTCGCGCTTGATAGGTTCCGTGCAGCCGCTTCATAGATCGTCCTTCTATCACGATCAATCTCGTCATCGGCATTCTGGGTATCCAGATCCCAGACTCGGACGAAGACTTGCATGCTACCCTGTCAAACAATTGAAAATATGAACACTTTAAGTCGGATTGCAAATATACATGCACTCACTCATGGGAGCGGCTAAAGCCATTTCATATAAACTGATGTACGTTACTGCCAGCTGTATCCATTAATTTTATGCAGACCGGCAGTAGCACATCAGCCCTAGAATCATTCCAACCAGGATTTGATCATTGATGTAAAAAGATGTGAACAATACTGTTGAACAAAGCTCAGCGGCAGCTATACACAGTGTGAAGGGTGGATTTTGGACGGGCGTTTCCGAAGCCAGCCTCTTTATTAGACTAATTTGCAAAATATAAAGGCCCGCTTGAGAAAAAGAAAACATACATTTCTTTTCATAAAGAAAAAGCAAATTACGAATCATTGTTTAAGCCCTTTGGTTCCTGTACAAATGTGACTGCAACTTCTTGGTCAGCCCCTACACCCATTTTGGAAAGATCTCGGTCCTTTAGTAGGCCTGACGGACCTGACCCCTGTGAAAAAAATGCCTGATTCGTGACTGGGCTCAATTTTGTGGGTGCAGGTAGTATAATTATAGGCCTAGACCAATCCAGCCACGCGCGCTATTAATTCCTATCACTATAAGACCCCTGTATTGCTTTGTACAATGGCGTGCACAGTGATTTCTTAATTGAAGGGGGCATCGTGATAGAGTGTGTACATTATACATGGCCCAGTTTCGCCTCTACAGGGTTACCCGAAAAATATAACCCTAAAACATTTGGCTTTAAAAAAAAAGGGATCTGTGGATGTTTATATTTTGGGTATCAGATTAAGGCTGAGAGCTTTTTGCTTCATATACTGAGAAAAAGTCATGAAAATAGCACTTTGGGTTCCTGAGAAAATGCCAATTATGTCAAAGTAGTCATATTTCATCCTGAACTCAAGAACTTCGAACAGTAAAACATTTTACTGTAAGCCTATTGTGCAATTATCGTTCATTTGTGAAATTTCTTTAGTATTTTTGTCATATTTATGATGCTGAAAGGGTTTAACTTTTAGGACTAAAAGGTGAGATACCTGTTCAGGTGGAAAATAAAAGGTATTTCCACCAAATTCATGTGTACTTTTGTCATATGGGCTGTTGATTGTAAGGATTAGGACATGCACTAGGTACAGTGGAAATTCCTTACGGTGGTAATTGTTTGTGTACAGGATGAAAATAACTACTTTTACATGATTTTGTTCAGTATTTGAAAGAACAACTCTCAGCTTTAGTCTGATACCAAAAACATAAAAATTCACCAATCACTTTTTTTTGTTATTAAAGTCAAATGTTTTAGGGTTGTATTTTTTTTTTTTGGGGGGGGGTTCACCCTGTATAATACGCTAAATATAAAGTCCTATAGCGCCACTCTGAATAGCTTACCGACCAGGAGTCGACACGTATGGTGTACGGGTTCGCTATCGCGTTGGGTATGGTGGAGGGGAAGTTGAAGTTGTCGTTATCCTCATGAAGTTTCTCTGTTGTGATAGCTGCCATGTCGCAGGAAGTACCCAAGGGACTTGAACGTGTTCAAAGAGAATGATTAAACACAATTAAATATTTGAAGAGGTCTTAAAACTGAACATGAAACCTATAGGCCTAAAGAAATGTGTACTTGAGAAAGGTTTTCGTGAAATTTTCAGATTCGTTTGCACAGTAAATTGGCCAAATTTATGGGGCTACGTCGTTTGTGGTACTGGTCACCAATCGGTACACCTTCGTCAAACTCCCCACTCGCAAATGCAGCGAAAAGATCACCAAGTGTCGTCTTTCCAACAAGTACTGTCCGTGCATACCACGGTTTTTTAACTTTAATTTTGGTTCGTATGGAAACGCAAACGAAAACCATTGTGATGAAATCAAACAAAACAAATTGAAGATTCGGGCTTTAATTTCTTGTCGATGAATGCATGGTACTAGTGCACTGCGTGACAGAAAACAGCGAATTCTTTAAACACATGCTCCAGCGTGAGCTAGTCTCATACCGGTCACATTCTGGCTTCGAAGTCAGCATTTACCGTATACAGTACGTGCAGACAGATTCCGGTTGAATTTTCAAACGACTGTAGTCTAAAACTATCAATAGAAATACGCAAGTGGGTGACCTCGCCATGCTCGCAGGGGGTATAGACTCTCATCGCGAAGAAGTGTTTAGCGATCGCGCGCCTGTCGATTTATGTGGTGTACAAAGTGACCGACAGAGTCTATACTGAAAACTTCGGCTCACATATTTCACGGTATTTATTTTCCGATGAATTTGTGGACGTTTTCGGTATTTTTTACTGAAAAATAGGTGGCCTCCAAAATGGAAGCGGGCGGGGACGAGAAAGATGTGTTTTGCTTTGGGTTTTTTTTTGCTTCGCCTAATGATACCTCTTACAGACAGAATTTGACACTTGTAAACAAGTCTATCAAACTTTCCTTATTTGCATAATTATGCATAAAAGCTCTTGCATTTTTGTTGCCTGAGGGCGCTGTTTGATTGGGTGTGGTCAGCTCCTTGGACATGCATGACCAAATGTACATGTGTATACATGTACATGTGCACACCTATGCAGACACCTACATGTATGCAGACATGCTCTGACATCACTTTGTAATTTGCCATTTATATGTGACATCCCTTCGGAAGCTCAGCAAAAGTAAGTTTACTGACATTTATTTAGTTATTTTGTGATTGTGATTAGAGATTTATTGTCATAATTTAAAAGGAAATTTGTGTGTAAATTTGGATTATTTAGCCAGTCAAATTGAACCATGTGAGCCACTCCTTGTTTGTCATTGAGCCCCTTTGTAAGATTGAAAGACATTGTAGGATGAAAAGTGTTTGTTATTTATACTTACCATTGGTAGATTTATATAGCACTTGACTCAAAATTAGTTTTGTTTTTCTTTATTCTTATAGTTGAACCTTGCTTGCTTGCTTGCTACTTGCTTACTACTACTTGCAACCTGATTGTTTGCCACATCCTACTGTACACATTACTTGCTACTTGAGACACCACTGTGAATTGTGAATTAAACCTTGTGACAGCAATCCAAGCATGAGTTTTCAAACTGAGCTTATTGGTATTTCTGTAATCTGGGGAGGTTACAATACCTATACTATCTAACGTACCCTGTATCGTCGCCGTCGATACACACAAAGAAGTAGTTATCACAGAAGTTATCGCAGCCACCAATGACGTCATCACAACAACCACCGTCATAATCATTATGGTCGGAATTGTAGAAAGATACAAACTTGAACTGGACTGAAGCAGTCGCCCATACTAAAAGGAATACCTGCCCAAACAACATCAAAAGGGAATAATGACCTAAACAATGAACATGACTTGATTAAAGAGTTCAGACCAACAGCATACAAATAATTATGATGCTGGTCATTTTCCCCTATTTTGGCAATATCCCATAGGCAAGCTCGTTGGTCGAGCGGTAAGACGTGTACGCTAGTAAGCAGGCAGTCGTGGGTTCGAGTCCCACCCGAGTGATTCTTCTAACGATTTTTTTCTCACAATTACTCGGGGGCAACACTGAGCATACAGCGTTTATAAAATCCGTCGGTGCAAGACAAAAAAACCCCGATATTTAATATCTTTGCAATCAAACATAAATATATCTTAAAAAAAGTGTGGTGTTATTGTAAAGTTTCCTAATGAGCCACCGATTACGGCGATCTGAAATCCATAAAAATTAACCAAGTTAATCACATCGAATTTTGATAGCAGCTAAAAGTAGCCATACTTTAATAACTGCAATCCAGGTTTGGGTCAAAGGGAGAGGCGGGGATTAACTGCATGGGAGGGGGGTTATCCTGCATTAAAGGGAAGATGCAACATTTGCAACATCAAAAAACGAGATGATCACGAAATACCTTACTGAATTGCTAGGGATTGACAGTCTAAAGCATCCTGTAAAATGGTGGCTCCTGGTGTGCTGACATTTTCAAGCAAAACTGTATTTTTCAAATGCTGGTCGGCCAGGAGAAAACTCTTCTTTTTTTTTTAACTGCTTTTCATATTTAGTTGTTCCGCATTTTCTTTGCAATTGATTTCACACTTGCGAAGGGGCACAAGCCTGCTAGACTGATTATTTGACCTTACAATTCCCTAAAGTCTTTACATTTCTCCGTCAGGGTCAGGGAACCAGACTACAAGAACATGATTTGTGGCAGCAATTGTTTTCATCTTTGTCGTCGAAACAAGAGTATTACTGATCTATACATAATGATATATAACTTTTAACTAAAAACTATAGGATAATAGAATGATCCAGGTCAACTTTGTATAACCTTCATTGTTATACCCCCCCCCCCCCCCCGGTTATTGTCACCCACATGACAAATTTGCTGAACTTATTTCGCTACAAGGTACTTGATCCTTGCATTTATATAGAATCTACTGCTAAATCAGTCATAGGCCTCAGTGGTTTACTGCTTTGTAAATATGCTGGTCCTAAATATACATGTCATTATTGAGCCTCCATTGTATTCTGATTTCCGAAGTAAGGAAACAGAGGAACCAAGATAGTTCATGTAATGCCAGTTCCTTTGTTTATAGTTATCTTTCTCAGACTACTGATAACCGTTTAAGTTCAACGTAGTGCAAAACAAGTGAACAGTCAGTGGGCCTTGCCTGTATACATTAGCACAAGGCTAATTGGAGCGGAGTCAATTACAAATGTATATAAAACAAAACAATGGTACCGTAGTTTTTGCATTTGAACTTGGTGATATAGGTGATATGCATGGTCTTCGCAATATTCACAGTGTTCACTAAAAAGTCAAAACTGAATCATAGAAAGTTAGCCTACGAAACAACTATAGGGGGGTATTGCAAACTTTTCTGAAAGGAAATATCTTACATAAGCATGGTGCCAAATAGGGACCTGTATGGGAGCGATAGCCTTATTGATTTCTGCCTGCCCTTCCCCTTCGACCATCACTACAATCTCAAATTTCTTCGACCATAATTTTCGACCGTTACATGCCAGATTAATTAAGTTGAAGGATCAATAATTGACGCATAGCCTATAGGCCAGGTCAATCAGTAATAAGTCTCTTCTGGTGCAGTGCGTATTGTACCAGAGTCCGCCAACAGTAGGCCGAGTCGTTTTGGTTTAGAATCTCAATAACACTTGTAACCATTATGACCAAAACAAAATGATCTCACTATTCTTACATGTGACAACAAAGCCGTCAATAGAAGAACAAACTTCATGTTTGACACAGGTCGCTCGTAAAGTGAACTCGTTGATGTCCGTGCGTGTATAAATTAAACTAAAAATTGATAGTGCTTTTTGATGCGCAATAAAAATGGACTTTGGTTCCATGTACGACTACCTTTATATTCGCAACCTGGTGAGAATGAGCAAATAAAATAGACCCTAAAGAATAACGGACCACGGAGTTTCGACTCTAATCGTTGCTAATGTTTTTGCAAATGAGGGTCATGGCCATAAACTTATGATAAAGAAACCAAAGTCACATTTTTTTTCGGAATACAAAAGACGCTGTGGCGATAATCAGCAGTCGCGTAGAAATTGTTTGTTTGCAATCTTTATCTCACAACACTGCAACACCAAGGATCAGGAATGTCAACATAACACTATAAATATTTCTGCCCTCCCCATTGCTGTATATATTTTGAGTCAGGTTTCTGTTGTCTTTTTTTGTTAAAGCATTTGGTTCAGTGCTTCATTTTCATAAGTAATCTTATCCTAATATAGGTGTTGTAATTTAGGTCACGAAAACTGTGACTTGGAAACTGCTTCTAGGTTTAAGCTTATTTAGGCTAAACTGGAGAAGAGTAGAACATAGTGAGTACAGTCATCTTCATCCAAGAATAGAATGATTAAGTTAATTACTGTACTAATTCTAAACATTAATACTACAATTAAATAAAGAAACAGGTAACCAGTTATTATTTTCACGCTTTGTTCAATTCTAAATCATATCACCGTAACTATGGAGCTATAAAAAGGCTAGCTCCATGGCGTAACACCGTCCAGAAAGTGCAACTTCAAACTACAGAAATATAGAATACTGGAAGGAAAATGTAGCTAAACTTAAAGTATATATTGCCAAAAAGGAAACAAGTAAACTTTGAAAGGAGAAAACAAAATAAATTGGTCATCCCTCTAAATTGTAGAAGAGTCGAAAATGTATACAGTCATCTTCATCCAACAACCGAATGACGCTCAAAGCGCAAAATTCAAAATGAAAATCTAGAGGGCGCTTTGTCAAATTAAAATAACAAAAGAAGTAGATACAGTTGAGCGATCTACATCAATGCAATGAATATGTAAACATGGGATAAACCAAAAATCAGGGGCTGGCCAAATATCGCTTTAGTTTTAAAACAGCCGTGACATAAGTAAGAAAGAAAAAGTTTAGACTAAGAAAGTCCCATTACAGTACGGTTTAACTACCCTCACATCAGAAGAAAATTTCAAGTCGGGCTCGATTCAGTAGCCAAAGTCCACCCTTTGATTAAGAATTGAATTTCAAAGGTGCATCATGACAGGGGGATGAGGGGGATAGTCCCATATAGTGGGAGGAGAGTGAAATATTTCATCAATGTTGCCATTTGTATAATTGTCTTTATCAACCGTTTAAAAACTGGCCACGTGACGGGCTCTCGACGAACAGGAATGGGTAAAACTGTCCAGTGTCACATGAAATTTTGACTCCTTTGAAATCCGGTGCCTTTTCAAGGGCGGTTCCAAACAAATCCATTCTGGCAATGAGTACATCACCATCTTTTCCTCAAAAAACATTGGTTAAAGTGGTCAGAAATTGCCTCAGATCGCACCACAGAGCATCTACAATCCAAAAAAATGTCGGCGCCCTCAAGCGGGCCCGAACCTTACTCCGTAATTTTTTTAATCCCCTAGATGTTCTGGATCCGCCCTTGTGCTTTTTTAGATACCGTTTTATTGGTTAAACGTTAACAATGCACACGTAGACATGCGCAATACTACCAGTGAGTCAGTATGTCATAGTCCTATTAATTCACACCACACCGGCACAGCTGCATTCTGTGCGACATCGCGCATTTGGGGACGCGCGCGCCAATCTTTATATAATGAGTTGTGTACGACATTGGATTATAGCAGTCTTGCAACGTGGGGCCAGTGACCTCGCGTGTAAACATCGGTGGTCTGTCCAGTGTTAAGTTGCCGAGTTATCATTCAATATATTTATAGAGGTTCTTCAGGCTGTCATTCTATTTTAAAGAAGCTTTCAGTTGAGTCAGATTTATAAAAAAAAAAAAAAAAACTAAAAACAGACCAGCCATAATCTTTCAAAATAAAAGAAGATTGCGGTCACTGAGAGTTTATTTCAGAGTAATTCAGAGCACAGACTATCAGCAACCAGTCGGCGGTATATTTCCCCAAAAGGAGCTTATTTCCTAGGGCCTTTAAATTGCTCGAGTACTTTCTAGGGTCTGAGGTACAATTTGGACATGGGTATCCGGGTGCGTTCGCCTCAAACGTAGGCCTACGGGTGTCGTTATTTACAGGGCTACAGATTCGAATTCGATTCCCAGGAAAAATTCGCCACAATATTGTGGGTGGTGTGAATGGCTTTGACGTACATGTACATGTGTGATCCAGCACCGATCGAGTGGAGTCGGGAAGCCTGGAATTCCTCGATGGTTTGAGTCTGTTTCCTTGCTTCGACCATCGTAATGGTAAATTTAGATGTTTAGGTATCAGGTATATTCATTAGTGTTATTAATGTACCACTTTATTTTACTGTTTCATTTTTTATAAATGAATTGTACATGTAACTGCTGGAATCGGAAATGACCTTCATTGAGATGATATATGAAGAAAACTTGGGGGAGGGCCTACGAAAATACCGCACTGTGTCATGAAACACATAAGCCTACCTACACACACCCACACGCGCAGAGAAAAGTTTTTAAAAGGTTTTAGGGTATCTCTCAGAATTTTCAAATTTCACCAACTGACACTGTGCAGCATGTATGCATCGACCCAACGTATAAAAATACGTGTAAAGTCTGTCGTTCTGAAGCACGGTGGGGAACGGGGGACTGATGTCGTTCCCCAACGATTTTCGTCGCTGAATAAAAATATGTAGCCTACATTTGATTATATAGCTCCGAACAGCTAATTTAATGACTCCAAACTCGAAAAAAAAACGTTTGATTGATGATCCTGTGCTAAAACTTTGGCAGTCGTCAGAAATTGCCTCAGATCGCACCCGCAGGGCGCCTAGAATCCATTTTTTCAGGGGCCCTTAAGCGGGCCCCGAACTCGCACCGTTAAGGCTTCGCACTCGCACAATTAGTACTGTTCAAGATACACATGTATGTACCACCCCCACTTTGAGAAGCGAATGACGCCCTCGAGAATTGGTGCCAACAGGCTGTTAGAGCTAGGACCTATAACAGTTTGGCCTGGCTTGATTTGTACAACCCCCTTCCCCCAACAAAAGTGTGTTCTGGATCCTTCCTTGTACCCCCACTCCCAATAGGCCTAATCTATAGCCAGATATTTTTATTATGTGTTTTTTAGACAGGGACATTTTCCGGTTCTTATTACATGATTTTCCTAGTGTATCAAACTACAGGCATTGAATACTATAACATGGTTCTTGGGGACATTCCTCATTTTGCCATTCCTCATTCCTCAAACTGCCCTCAAACGCACATGAAAGCATTACGATCGCGTTTAAAATGATCTCCTCTCTTGTAATGCAAAAGTGCCCCTAAAAAACACAAACACCCCTCTCGCAATAACAAAATTGTGCCCCTCTCAAAATGGAAAACTAGCCCGTAAAGAAATAATAGTGCTCCTTACGCTTTTAAAATGTAATGCAAACATTTTAAAAAGTGTATATCAATGTTGGTAGTAAACAAGGGCGGATCCAGACCACAATTTTTTGGGGGGGGCCACACAAAATTTTGGTCCCCCCAAAAAGTGGGTCTAAAAAATTACGGCGTGGGGTTCGGGGCCCGCTTAAGGGCCCCGAAATTTTTTTGGATTCTAGATGCTCTGTGGTGCGATCTGATGCAATTTCTGACCACTTTAACCAATGTTTTTTTGAGGAAAATATGGTGGTGTATTGCCTGCCTTTATTGCTATGTCACATACAAAAAAAAAATTGGTTTCGTTTTTTTGGGGGCCATGGCCCCCTTTGGCCTCCCCCCCCCCCCGGATCCGCCCTTGGTAGTAAATTTTGCTCTGGGTAACATGTATTCCTTGCAATGTGAACGAAAATAGTTTCACAATTTCTCCTCTTTGACGGAAGGTGCCTTTTTTTCTGAGGAAATCCCTCTTTTTGGTGATGCCCCAGTTTTAAAACGTTACGCCGCCGCCGATTGGCGTATTACATGTGTAGGTGTTAGTAAAAATTATACTCGCTTGTTAATAAATCACATTTTTCAAATCGAATATAGGGGTGGGCAGGTGGGTCAAAACAATTTGGAAAAGAATCCAAATTTAACAACATTGAGAATTTTGAATGGCCCCTAACAGGATGTTATAGGGAATGTTTATACATGTACATCCTTGGCTTTTGCCGTAATTTTCAGAAATGAAGTAATTGGGGGGTAAGTATAATAGATCCAAATATTGTTACACTGACATGTTTGAAGTACGGTGTTCTAAAATGCTGGAAAAACCAAGAAAAATATAAATGTTCAAGTAGTTTGGTTACTTGACTCCACTAAAGATGAAATAGATTAAAAATGGCGGAAAATTGTAAGGTAAGGGAACCAGTCTAGCTGGCTTGCACCCGTTCATGAACATGGAACCAAAAGTAAACAAAATTTGGACTGGAAAAAACCCACCAATTTGTAAATTTGGAGCAGTAGTTGAAAAATAGTTTGGTTTTTCCAACGGTGGTCGGCCGACCACCGTTGGAAATGCATACAAAAGTACTATTTTTCTTGAAAATGACTTCACACCATCCCAGGTGCCATAATTTTACAGGATGCTTTAGACTGCCAGTTACCAACATCCTAGTAAGGTATTTTGTAACAACTTGGTAGTTTTATTTTTCGATGCCTGCCAATGTTGTACTTTCCCTTTAAATTTCCGCTTCCGGAAAAGATAATCTCAATTTTTGAAAAAAGCAGGTATAGGCCCTACACACCAACTTTAAAAAAACATGTCATACTTTGTGAAATGTGTGCGTGACAATGCAGTATTTCGATTATCGCTCAAAAATAGTTGCTGGGGGCGGGGCGGGTGTTGGGTGTGTTACAGAGTGGCAAATTGCAA